GCCAGGGAACCTTTTAGCTCTGCCCTCACCTGCTTTTCCTGGAGAGAAGACCCAGGTACTAGGGCAGCTCCTCTGACCTCCGCCCCTCCCCCCACCCCCACCAGGCCCATGTCTAGGTCCGATGGCACCAGGGAGAGTGTGTGTGAGGCTGGGGATATCGGGATCCGAATCTATATGAAATACCGGTATCTGAGCCCTACTGGGCATTTCAGTGCGTGGCATACGTGAGCTGTGTCACTACCAAGTGCCGAAGCTTTTTTTTTACCAAATGCCAAAGCTTTGACATGTGTGGACGAAAAGGGACCACGTGCTAACCCGACTAACTCAGGAAAGGCCTGCGTGGCGGCCTTGCAAACGCAAGAGACCTCAAGTAACCACAGAGGATGGTCTGAAATTAAAGCCTTTAATTAACAAGCAGTGTCTACAGTGGGTAGACATGTCCTAGGCCAGTGTCTTCCCTGATAACATACCTGTGGATGTCAGGGCAGCTTGTAGCTTCCCTTTTTCCGGCCCCCTCCAGAGCACAGCCCTGGCCACAGATTCCCTCCTTGTTCTTGTCATTGTGTTAATTGTTGACTGTTAACTATCTGATGCCCACCTGTGTACAAGAAGCATGTGTCTATCATTTCACTTTTTATCCAATCCCAGAGGTTTCCCTGATTTGCTTTCTCCCGCCTCCCTCATCGATCACCAATGGATTTCATGTAACCCACGTACGTCTTCTCCTTTGATGGTGACGCATAAAACAAGATGAAAAACTGCCATTTTCCCGAGCACTACCTCAGTACCTTGGGGTTCCGCATCCTGACAGTTGTCAACAGTTTGGCTCAAATAAGCTGACAAAAATTCTTTACAGGTTTGAATGTTTGTTGTTGTTGTTTTTTACATTAACACATTAACACAAAAGAATTCTAACAGGTAGACCCTATTAGCACCATTTTATTTCAGCACAGAGAGGTTAAGGTACTTGCTCAAGATCACACAGTTCGGAAAAAGTAGAGCCAAAATTTGAACCCAGGTCATGTGTCTCCAGAGTTTATGACTGACCCTCCACTCTTCACTGAAGCTTGTTAGCTTTTTTAATTTAATTAATATATTTTTAATGATTTCAGAGAGGGAGTGGGAGAGATAGAAACATCAGTGATGAAAGAGAATCATTGATGGGCTGTCTTCTGCACAACCCCACTGGGGGTTGAGCCCACAGCCTGGGCATGTGCCCTTGACCGGAATCGAACCTGGGACCCTTCAGTCCACACTGCGCCAAACCAGCCAGGGCAAAAATATGCTTTTTATTGATTTTTAAAAAATGTATGTTTTTAAAAAAATATTTTTATTGATTTCAGAGAGGAAGGAAAAGGGAGAGAGAGAGATAGAAACATCAATGATGAGAGAGAATCATTGATTGGCCACCTTCTGCACGCCCCCCACTGGGGATCAAGCCCGCAACCCGGGCATGTGCCCTTGACTAGAATCAAATCCAGGACCCTTCAGGCCGTAGGCCGAAGCTCTATCCACTGATCCAAACGGGCTAGGGCTATTGACTTTTTAGAGGGAGAGGGAGAGAGAGAGAAACACCAGTCAGCTGTCTCCTGCATGCCCTCTACTGGGGATCAAGGCGGAAACTGGGGCACGTGCCTCAACCTGGAATCCCCTGATGACCCCTCAGTGCATGGGACAACATTTGACCAACTGAGCCACACGGGCCAGGGCTGCAGAGGACTAGAGCCACGGCCAAGGATTCAAATCCCAGCCATGCTGCTTCCAAGCTGGGTGACCTTGGGCCTGTTGCTTGGCCTCTTTGAACCTGCCTGTCCCCCTTGGTACCCACCTTGCAGGATTTTTCTGGGGATGAGCAGCGTGCTTGGCACACTCTGGGCTCTCAATGAATGGGGCTGCTATAATTATTCCGCACAGGGTGGGGGCGGGGCGCAGGGCCCTCAGCCAGGCCTATATTTAGCCTGGAAAGGGTGGGGGGTCCTAGGAGACAAAGGGTTGCCGCCAGTCCCAGGCCTAGGGGGCAGAGCCGAGGAAAGTGGGCAGCCTGCGTCCTCTCCTCCCGGCCCTCCTCTTCCATAGGGTCACCTTGGCTGCAAGGCTTCCTCAGCCTGGGCGTGTCCAGTCCCCAGCTGGTACTCTGTCCTCTGCACGACCCTCATCCCCCAACTGCAGTCTGGGGAGGGGGCTGCTGGGCCTGGGGGTTGGGGGTGGCAAGTATTCGGCCCCATTGGCCACGTGGAGAGCTGACTCCTCTTCCAGCCAGGGCTGCCGGCGGCCCAGCTCACTCCAGCCCGGCCCAGGATGGGGGGCTTCACTGGGGTCCCCACACCAAGGTGAGCCTGACCCTGCAGGTGGGAGTTGAGGAAGGGTTGGGGCTGGTCCGGCTCCTCCCCCAAACCTCGGGCTGATGAGTGTCGGTGCTGCAAATAGCCCAGTGGAATCCGTGAGTCACCTCAGCTGGAAATACCACGCCCACTCTCCCTCTCCCTCCCCTCCTCCTGCTAGCAGCTCCAGCTGCAGGGGGCCAGCGCTTGGCAGCGATTTCAGTATCACCTGGTAGGGTGTGGGGTGAGTATGGGGGCAGGGGGTCTCTCTAGAGAGCACCCAGACTCCTCAACTAGCCAACACCCCAGTCAGGTTTCAGCTCTGTGACCCTGGGCCAATCACTCAGCCTCTCTGATCCTCAATGGCCATCTGGTACGAGATAGGCTTCAAGAAGGCAGGGACCCGTGCAGCTGACCGGCCTTTGGTGTTCCTGCACCTGGGACTGTGCCTGGCCTGGCAGCAGGTGCTGGCTGGCGGTTGGAAGGGAAGGCACTGCAAGGCTCTTCACAGAAATAATTCCACGTCCGGCCCGGGTGGGTCTGGAAGCCGAGGGAGGAGGCCGAAGGACACCCACATTTCTGTAAGGTCTTGAGCTTTGCGTGAGCTACTACCCCCACCCCAACATTTCAAGGAAGGCATGTCTGTTTCTCCTGGGGTTTTCCCACCCCAGCTGCCTCCAAACCCACCCCAAATGTGAGAACTTCAGGCAGGTGGTCTCCAGAAGTCTGGGATTCTGTCGTTTATTGTGTGCGCAGGGTACAATGCCAGGACCCTCCCATGCCCTTCTCCCCCCCCCCGAACTGTCCCCTAAGGACCCCAGAATGGCAGGCGAGAGGCCACCTACCCTGTGACGCACCCTCCCCTTACCCCTGGTTTTGTATGTGGAAACAGAGCCAGGATCACAGCGGGCAGCTGAGGCTCCCCAAGATGAAGGCTTCCTGAGCCCTTCCCTGGCCTGGGGAGCAGGAGGGAACTGGCTGGGGGCTTTCTCCAGCAGAAAGATGTGGGGACAGAGGCAGAGGGGGAACTACTTCCCGGTACCCAGAGGGGGGCGCTTTGAGAGGAGCCTCAGATTTCCTGGATTTATGTTCGTGAGCAGGTTGGGCAGCCACCTGCTCAGAGACTCAGCTTCCCCCTGGTGAATATGGAGATTGGATCTGACTTTAGAGTGTTCTGAATCTGGACTCAACCAATGGTAATGCTTAGGATTCGAGGGACAGCAGGTGTGTGTCCCCGAGCGTATACACACGCCAAACCTATAGATTCATAGATCGAAGAGGGGGAAGGACTGGCCGTGGCGAAGGTTGGCCAGACACTGGTCTGACCTTGAGACCCAAAGCCCCACCCACGGTCTCTCTCCCACATGGGTTCGGTGATCCCTCTGCATGGAGGCAGCCCCAGGAGCCGCGGCCTGAGGGCAGGGGGGGACCAGCCGCACCCCTGGTCTGGCCTGGCCTGGCCTGGCCTGGGGACATGAGCAGGTAACAGATGGCAGGAGTTTCACACCGTTTGTCACGAACCAGCTGTATTGGAAAAACCCCATCTGTATACAAATGCCACGTGGCCCTGCCCTGGCACAGCTGGCTGGCTGGGCGCTCCAGGTGGGCAGGCAGCTGGTTTGGGGCTTAGAGAGTGGAAAGGGGAGGTTTCCATCATGGCTGTCTCCTGGCCTCCCTGTGCCCCCGGGGACCTGCCTCTCCTGCTCCTCTTGCCAAGGGGGCCCCAGTGCCCTTCCCCGCCCCTGCCTGGCAGAGCCTCCGTAGGGCAGCGGAGCTACTGTCCGTCTGTCCTGCAGATTATTTGCCCAGAGACCCTGCCTCTCCGCAGCTTCCTTCCCACGTGGGCTCTCTGGATCTCCCTTCCCCACCCCGATCCCTGTGTTCTGCACTAAGTGAGAGGCCACATCTGGAAGGCAAGGGGGCCCCTGTCCTGTCCTGGGCAGAGCAGAAGGCCTCCGTTTTGGGGTGGGGGTGACCCACCTGGGGTCTTGGGGGTGGGACCCGGGCTGAGATGTCCTGGCAGCTGTTATGAGGGTTTTTTTGCTGGACATGCTCCGTGTGCGGGTGTCGCCGCGCCCGGATGGTGAGGCTGCCGTCCTCCCTCAGGGCCGAGGTCACGGAAGTGGGGTCCACGTCCTCGGGCAGCTGGCATTTGTGAGCGAAGGTGTTCATGACCGTGCCGTCCGCTGCCAGCTGCGGGGGAGAGCTGGGTCAGGGCCGGCTGCCCTGCCCCCTGTCCGGCTCATGTCAAGCCCCAGCCCCTTCTCCCCTGTCCAAGTCCAGCGGCCCCTCCCGCTGAGGGGTCTGCTCTCAGGCTGGTGCCCAGGATGATGGTGGCCACAGGCCCAGGGTTATGCAGGGCCAGGTGCACAGGTGCTGAGGGTTCCAATGGGCAGGCAGGGGGCTTGGTGGCAGCCAGGGGTTCTTGGGCACCGAGGAGAAGGCGGCACAGGGCTGAGTCGGGCCCTCTGGACACCCAGACCCACTGGGTCTCCACGGTCAGGGCTGGGCCGGTGGCCCTTCCCCCACGGCTTGGTCAGCACATAGTGTCCAGAGGAGCCTGGTGTGGCTGAGTCACTGGCGGGAGTGGCAGGGCTGGCACATGCTGCCCACTGGTCCTGGTGCCCACAGTCCTTGGCTTCCCTGACAGGGTGCCCAGGCACCTAGCATCCTGCACTCAGGGAGGGAGCTGGGCCCTAGGGGCTCTGGCAGAGCTGTGGGCAGCCCCTCTCCTTGATGGGGCACCTGTGGCTGTGGCCCACTGTGGGCAGCGTCCAGGTTCAGCTGGCGGCACACCCTCCTCCGACGGCTAGTGACCCAGTGACCCTGAGAGCCGTGGGTAGAGGGAGTGTGGGGTTTGGAGTGTGGAATCCTGAATGGCAGGGACTCTAATTCAGGGGTCCCAGGTTGGAGGCTGGGCCTCTGGAGCCAGGAGGGAAGAGGGCTTGAGGGGTGTCGTGTGGGGGAACTCTTCCCGCAGCTGTCCAGGTGAGTCCCCAACGCACCTGTCCTCACTCAGCTGTCCTCACTCAACCACCATCTCCCTCTCTCATATCACAGCTCAGGTGCCCCCTGCCTGCATCCCTGCCCCCTCCCATTCCCCTGGGGCCCTCTCAGCTGCCCAGCTCTTGGAAAACGGATCTCGGGGCAGAGAGAGGCATAACGGGGATCCTGCGGCCCACGAGCTACAAGAGCAGGGTCTCCCATGTGCCCTGGGGACTTGGGGGGACATGGGCTAGAGTCTGGGGTCCCAGGATGAGACATGGGAGTAGGGACGCTGGGCAGAGGGTGCAGGGGCAGAGCCTGGGGTCCGGGCGGGCGGGCAGCTCACCTTCTCAGCGCGCACCTCGATGTGGTTGTTGGATGTGGTGACGATGATGTCCTCAGGGGAGAAGTCGCTCACGTCCACTGCAAACTCATAGGCATCGCCGAGTGTCTTGATGTTGCCCGGCCCCCCAGTGCGGGCTGTGGGGAGGGCTGCCGTGAGCCGAGCACAGAGCAGGCTTGCACCCAGAACTCGGGCTTCTGGCTCCTTCTCCTGGGGAGAGGGGAGGCCCCCCAGGCCTGACTTCCCTTTCAGCTATTGCTCCTAACCTCCCTGCCCACCCTCCTCACCTCTTGCAGCCTGCCTTCTCCATGGGGGGGCTGGAGCCTCGCCAGGCACAGGTGTGTGTGTGTGAGTGTGTGTGTGTGTGTGTGTGTGTGTGTGTAGCAACCTGCCCCACACCCAGAGTAGGGGATGTGTCCCCACCTCAACCTCATGCAGCCCCTCAGAGCTCCAGCTCCCTGCGTGGCCATCAACACCATAGCTGACCCCGGGCCACACCTGTTCCTTGAAGGCCTGCCTATTCTCACGGCCACATCTGTCTCTGTGGCCACATCTGTACCGGTGGCCACGTGCAGCTGCAGCCACAGCCACATCCAGAGGTGCCCGGAGCCGGTGTCCCCCTCGGGTGTCCCCCATCCCGCAGAGCCCCGAGCACTTGCCTGGGAAGGTCAGGGGCTCGGAGCGGGGCCGCATGAAGCTGCCAAAGTCCTCGGAAAACATGCTCAAGGCCTTCTCCATGGGCGGGTCCTGGGCTGGGAGGGCTCGGGCGGCTGAGGAGGCCGAGGCCGAGGAGGAGGAAGAGGAGGAGTGGAAGCTTCTCTCGGCTCTGAAGCTGGAGGAGGTCCGGTGGCTCATCCACAGCGGGCAGCCGGCCCCGGCCAGGCGGCAGGGTGGACACAGGGGTGTGGGCAGCGGGCTCCGGGGGAGTGTGCTGGGCCCGGCTGCTGGCGCTTTATAAGGCCCGGCCGCCCGGGCGTAGGGCCAGCCCCTTGTCTACCGGCTAAATTTAGGCCTCGCCGTGGCCCAGAGGGGCTGGAAATCTTCTCCAGTGAGACGGTCCTGCTGACAGTCCAACGCACGCAGGCCCGTGAGGCTGAGCTCATAGCCTGGCATTCCAGGCCGATAACTCCAGCCCGGGGGCCGCACGGCAGCGGGGAGGGCGCCAGAGCTGTCCCCTCGCCACTCAGACCCGCGCCCAGGACCTGTGTGTGTGTGTGTGTGTGTTGGGGGGGGTCCGTTTCTCTTCCCCATCAGCCAGGGGCTCTTAAGGGCTCTGCCTCCCCTGTTAGAGGGCATACTCCTGTGGCCTGGCTTTTCTATGCCCTGTCCCCTCTCCCCCGAAGTCCCAGCCGTGGTAAGAGGGGATCTGAGTGGTAAGGGGTCAGGGACCAGGAGATGCCTGGCCAGGAGGTCGGGGTGGGTGCAGGACCCCCACCTGCTGGGCCCCTGTGTGAAGTGAGGGGCTCCTTCCCTCGGGGCAGACACTGTTTACAGACGTCTCTTAGGGATGGAGGTTGGGGGGTGAGAATGTGCAGCTGTGCCCCTGCCAGCTCCCACTGGGACCCAGACTCCATGCTTGCTCCCTCCCCCCCCCCCCCCCCCCCCCGCACACTCTGGAACATTTTGGGGGCCCCAAGAGGGGGAAGCTAGCAGCCTGAGGCAGGGCTGGGGGTGGGCCCCACGCAGGGAATTTGGTAATTGTCCCTAAAGATCTGGAGGTTGTATTTCTGGGAACTGCTTGACCTCCGGCTTGAGGAGCCCTGGGATGCAGCGGGCAGAAGTTTGGGAGGCAGAGAATTACGGAGACAGTCCTTCTAGCTCTGGCTTCAGGGCCTGTGGGCTCCTGGGGAGGAGCTTCCAGGATGGTCCATTTGCTCCCCACACAGCTCTGAAAGGAGGCGTCACCCCCATTTTATAGAAGGGAGACAGCCGCGCAGGGCGGGCGGTTTGCACAGGGCGAGCGGCACAGCTGGATTCGAACCCGGACATTTCTGATCCGAAGCCTCCTAGGAGGCCGGGTGACCTGAACACACATGTGCGGAGATGGGCTGGCCCGGAAGCCCCCGAGAAGCCCCTGTGTGCTCCCCACAGCTCAGCAGAGCCAGGACTGACCTGGGAGGCGGGGTAAGGGGGCGCCAGGGAAAGGCCATTCTGAGAAGAGAGTGGGCCCTTCGCATCTGCCCAGGCTGCAGTGTGGGGCCTCCGCTCTCCTCTCCAAGTCCTGCCTTCCCCCACCACCGAGGCCTCTCTGATTGCTGTAGTCCACACCAGGGGCCCCTGCCCCGATGCCCACAGTGCCGCCTGTCTGCCCACCCAGCTCCTGGCAGTGTAACCTGGTTGTCCTGGGTCTATGAGACTGACAGCTCCTCCAAGGCACGGTTCAGTGTGTCCCCGTGAGAGTGGGACTTCCTGAAGGTGGGCGCTGCTTCTCTTTTCTCTGGCTCCCACAGAACGTCATTCTTGGGGCTCCATCTATAGGGGTGGTCCCTGAAGGGGGGCCAAGGCAGTGGCTGGGGAAAGAGGGTCCTTCACTCCAGGGGAGATTCCTGCCTGGAACTCCTGCCCCTGACACCCATCCTGGCCCAGGGGGCTGCCAGGAAGTCGCCAGCACCGAGGCAAGATGGGAAGAGGGTGGGGGAGGGGTGGGGGGGCCCATAAGCCTGCCGCCCGCCAGGGAAACAGGAGCCAGTGGCTAAATGCAGACACACTGTCATGGTGCTCCTCCACTGGCTTCCGCCGCCAGGAGGGACCCTGAAGGTCATCGGGGCCATCGCCCTGTCTCGGCCTGCCTCTCCCTTCAGATCACAGGGATAGAAGGAGCTTCAGAGATGGTCAAATGCCCTGAATCCCCAAACCTGCCAGGGCATCCAATCACCTGAGGGAATTTTGACAAACCCAGAGCCTTAACCTGCACCCCAAGATTCTAATTTGGGGCTCTGGGAAGGGACCAGGAATCTGGTCCCATCAGCTCTCCACACAGCCAGCCCACAGGCCAGTGCTTGGAAACCACCCAGCACTCAGTAGGTTTATTGAACACCTACTATGTGCCAGGCACTGTTCCCGGCTCTGGGGGACTGGTGTGAATGAGCCTGTTCTCCCTCCACTGCTGCTGGGGCTCGATGAAGAAGGGGGAGAAGTGGAGGGGCTGGCATGTGGGTGTACAGAGCTTTGGGAGGGACCTGCCTCAGCCACCACACCCCCCCGCCGCCCTCTTCCCAGCTTCCTGGTGCTCGCAGGGCCAGGGGGTGAGGTGTGGACATGCCGGGCCTGCAGGCTGGCTGACCCTGGCTGTGCGATTGTAGCCAGCGGCTGCTGGAGGCCAGAGGTGGGTCTGGGATGTCGATGGGGCAGCCAGTCGACAGGGTGGGGTGGCCAAGGTGAAGGTGGGCCCATGCAGAGCAGCAAGCCCCTCCCCACCTCCTACACACAGCACACACAGGCCCCTATTTTGGATTGACTTGACCTGGCCTCTAGGGGAGGGGGTAGCTCAGGCTCCCAGGACTTTAAGGAGTCATTGAAGGGCCATCATGATTTTCGGGGGGCGGGGGTTACTTGGGGGAGGGAGGGCCGTGGTCCCAGATCTCTTGCCTAAATCTCCCAAAAGTGGCAACAGACAAAAATCCTCTGCTCTCTGCCCAGACCCTGCCCTGGTTGATTCAGTCACTGGAGCTTGAGGAGCTCCGGGTAGGGGAAAAGGCACACAGACTACGTCTGGGTTCAGCCTCTGCTGTGTGACTTTAGGTGAGTGACTGCACCTCTCTGATCCTCCATTTGTCATCTGCAAAATGGTGGTGCTGTCCCGGACTCACAGGGTGCTGGGAGAATGAACTGAGTTGTAGACTTAAGGGCCTGGCACGTAGGCAGGGTGTAACGTGCTTATTTCCTCACCATGCCCCCCATGCCCTGGCTCCTACCCTCTGTTTGGGGTGCGACAAAGTCTGGGCATTTACCCAGAAGCCTTGTGGTTTGAGAGGCCGTTTTCTGAGACTGGAGGGGCTGGACACCAGGATCAAGTCTAAGTTCGTCCCCAGGCCCTGGCCACTGGGATTCGCTACCCACTGCTCCAGCTGGGGGCCTCCGCCCAGCTCTGAGCGAGGTGGGCTGTCAGGGCAGGACAGCGGGGTGCTGTGCAGGCTCTGGAGACAGGCAAACCTGGGGAGGACGTGGGGGGGGGGGCGTCCTAGCTCTGCTCTTGGCCTCTATGACCTTGACAAGCAGCTGCCTCTTTGAGACTCCATTTCTTTAAATGGGAATAATGCCGCCCCCCTGGTTGGGTCCCAGGGGCACTCACTGATTGGGGGGAAGGTTGTTGGCACACAGCAAGTGGGCAGCAACGACAGTGCCCTCGCCTTTGCCCCAGCCCTTCCTCCTCCTCTGCTGGCTCCCTCCCCTCTCCTTTCTCTGCTCTTTCAGATCCCTTCCAGACCAGCTCTGAGAGTCCAGGGCCCGACCCTCGGCCCACAGATGACCCCTCACCGTCCCCCTGTGTGTGTGGGGTCCGCACCAAAGCCCCAGATCCCCTGCCTGCAGCACGGCTTCGTGGCTACGCTAGGTTGAGGGGAGTCCTGCTCCCCGCTCCCTTTGGCTGCTCTGGGCTGCACGGCCCAGCGGGCCTGGGCAGTTCTGGTCGGTTTGTCAAGGACATTCTTCACAGCCACAGTCAAGCCCGGCCTGCGGGGTGCGGGGAGGAGGGGGGCAGGTGCTGATTGGTGGAGCACACACCTGTGCAGGTTCACCTGCGCTGCAGGCAAAGGAGTCTGTTAGAGGGCCGTCCGGGGCCACAGCAGGGCGGACGGACACAGGTGAGGGGCCGCTGGGTGCAGAGCTGGGGATGGACTCAGAGAGGGTTGGCCAGGTCTCGGTCAAGCTGGGCAGGAGCAGAAGGGCGGGGGGCAGGGAGCCAGCATCTCATTTCGGCCTCTCCTTCTGGGCCTGGGGTTTTGCTGCCTCTGTGGCCTGAGCTGAAGCGGAGGGGGCTCGGGGATGGGTTCGGGGAGTCAGAGCCGCCGGTGGAGACACAGACAAGTGTCAGGGAGGGTGGGAGCGGTGACCACGGGAGGGGGAAGGGGCTCTGAGGCTCGCAGACCTGCTTTGGCCAATCCGCTGCTGGACGCGAAGGGCACAGACAGGAACCCCACCTCACACTCTACACGCACATGCACGCCCTCGCTGACACCCCAGGGCCCGCTAGACTTAGGTCCCCCAGTAGCTTTACACACACGCACACACCCCGGGGAATGCCACCTTTCCTTTTGACCTGGGAAGTAGCAATATTGGAAGGGCCAGGGGGCAGGGCGCAGGCATTGGGGCAGCTCCCCGAGGGTCCCCCAGCCTGTCGGCTGCCTCAGGGACGCCATGGAGGAGCTGGTGGGGCTGCGAGAGGGCTCCTCGGGGAACCCCGTGACTCTTCAGGAGCTGTGGGGCCCGTGTCCCCGCATCCGCCGACGCATCAGAGGTGAGAGCTGGGTCCCTTCCCCTCCCCGTCAGAGACCCCTCAGGACCTCACCCCCTTCCCAGGCTGCACCTCCCACCCCCTGAAAGCCCACCAGCTGCCCTCTCCCTTTATCTGCCCAACATCACTGCCCAGCATCTCCTGGTAGCAGGGAGGGAAGGGATCTGTCTGTCCATCAGTCTGTGGGACAGACGTGCTCGACGCCTGCCCTCTGCCTTTTGGGGTTGCAGCCCCGATGCCCGATCACTGTGCCCGGGGCCTTGCTAAGGGCCCAGGGGGTGCTCTCTGGCCCAACACCAGCCCCGCAGGTCCTGGGACAACACAGGAGTGTTGCTAGACCCTAGTGCTGCCTAAGCTACGGACCCTGTGGTGATTAGAGAGAGCGGTAGCTCCCAGCACTCCTCCTCACCCCTGAACCTTGATCGTCCTCCCATAAGTACCCCAGTGTGGGGCAGGGGTGGGGGCAGGCCCAGCAGAGGCCCCCTGCGCTGCCACCATCACCACCACAAATCCTGCTCTGCCCCCACGTGAGGCGACCCTGGACTGGACCGCCTCCCCAGCCCAGAGCAAGAGCAGGCTTCAGGGAAGGGCTGTCCATGCCCGCCCAGATCTGGGCTGTGACCCCGTGCCCCTGTGCCCCTGTGCCAGGCGGCTTGGAGTGGTTGAAGCAGAAGCTGTTCCGTGTGGGTGAGGACTGGTACTTCCTGGCCACCCTCGGGGTGCTCATGGCCCTGATCAGCTACACCATGAGCTTCACCGTGGGGCGAGTGGTCCGAGGTAAGCGCCCCCTCCCCGCCCCCCGGGGCACACATGCCCGCTCTGGACCCAGGGCTCTCAGGAGGCCAGGTGTGCCACCAGGTGCAGCAGGAGTGGGAGGGGTCGGGGGGGGGGGCCTGGTCTGGTCCTGGCATTGCTCGTTTTGTTGTTGTTGTTAATTCTCACCCGAGGATATTTTTCCATTGATTTTTACAGAAGGTGGAAAGGAGGGAGGAGCCGGGAGAGAGTGGGGGGTGGGGGGGATGGGGAGTGGATGCAGAGGGAGAGAGAGAAACATCAATGTGAGAGAGACACATTGATTGGTTGTCTCCCACATGTGCCCCGACCAAGGCTGGGGATTGAACCTGCAGCCCAGTTATGTGCCCTTGACCGGGAATTGAACTCGAGACCCTTTGGTCTGAGGGCCAACGCTCTAAGCATGTTATTTTTTAAATATTCTTATTTAAATTGATGCATAGAACCATAATTTCAACATTTTCATCTCCTGTGAGAAATACAATAGCTACAAGTTCAGCTATTTGGAACCATTTTTTAAAAATATTTTTTATTGATTTCAGAGAGGAAGGCAGAGGGAGAGAGAGAAACATCAATGTGAGAGAGACACATTGATTGGTTGTCTCCCACATGTGCCCCGACCAAGGCTGGGGATTGAACCTGCAGCCCAGTTATGTGCCCTTGACCGGGAATTGAACTCGAGACCCTTTGGTCTGAGGGCCAACGCTCTAACCACTGAGAACACAGGCCAGGGCCTGGCGTTGCTCTTGGCTTGCTGTGTGACCCTGGACAAGCTCCTGCCTGTCTCTGAGCCTCCGTCCCCTCATCTGCACAGCGAGTGAGAGAGCCCTGAACGTTCCCAAGAGCCCTTCCATCTGAGTCCTAGTTCCCCTGGTCCTGCTGTGTGGCTCCCTCTCCTCCCTCCCTCCTTGCTCTCAACTCAGTCGCTGGGGGAGGGCACTTGCTTAGACACCATGGGTCAGCAGGCTCTCTCCACCCTGAGGGCTCCCTGGAAGAGGGGGCGGGGCAGGAAGAGGGTAACACCTTCTCGGGGAGACTTGCTCCGGTGCCATCATGAGCCCCTGCCCGGCACCAGACACCCATTGTCTGAGGAGCTTCACACTCTGCCTCACTTCTCACAGTGACCCTGTGAGGGAGGTGCCATCACTAGCCCATTGGACAGACAGGAAAACAGAGGCTGTGAGAGGCGGAGTCACTGGCCCAAGGCCCCTCAGCTAGGGAGTGGCAAACCTGGGTCGGGATCCAGGGTCCTGCTCCTGCTCCTCTGGGGGAGCTGCTGCTCCCTGGCGGCCTGGGCCTCCCCTCTCCAGGCCTGTGTCTCCCGGTCAGTAGGGGGCACCCGAGGGCCCGGAGCCTGTGGGTGCTCCCTGATCCCTGGCTGTCCCCAGCACACAAGTGGCTGTACCGGGAGATTGGAGACAGCCACCTGCTCCGGTATCTCTCCTGGACTGTGTACCCCATGGCCTTGGTCTCCTTCTCCTCCGGCTTCTCACAGAGCATCACGCCTTTCTCAGGAGGTGAGCCCCCACGGGTTCATGTCCTCAGGCTTCTGATGGGTGGAGGCAGGAGGCAGTACCCCTACTTCATAGCCGGAGAAATCAGGCTCAGAGGAGTCGTGTCACTTGCCCCAAGTCACACAGCACGAAGACCAGACCTTGACTCCTGGGTCGCTGATGGCTCTGGCCCCTTTCTGAGAGCATTTCTGGGTGGTGATGGGGAGAACTGGTGGCAGGTTCTCCTTCAGGGCCGATGCCCAGAGTATTCCCCCAGGCCTCTCAGCTCTGCCTCCAGCTCCCAGCCAGCAGATGGGAACTCCAGGGGTGCATGCAGGGTGGCCTGGTTCCCCCCACTTCCCCCGAGTCTGCCACAGCCACCAGCCAGGCCCAGCTGGAAGGACATGGGCTATTCCCCTCTCCTTTCTGACCCTCGGCCTCCTCCTCTGAAAAATGGGTTGAGGAAACCTACTCCTGGGGTTTTAAAGGACCTGACAGAGGGTGGTGCGAAACACTGTGCAGGGTCAGGTGCGAAGAGGTTAACCCCAAGGTTGTCCCTCCCGCTGCCAAGGATCTGGAATCCCGGAGCTGAAGACCATCTTGTCCGGGGTGGTCTTGGAGGACTACCTGGACATCAAGAACTTCGGGGCCAAGGTGGTGGGCCTCACCTGCACCCTGGCCTCCGGCAGCACCATCTTCCTGGGCAAAGTGGTACGAGCAAGCGAGAGAGCACCCCCCCCCCACTCCCTGCTCCCCCAGGCCTGCCTTTTCCTACCACCCACCCCCGCGGGGCAATGCCCGCCTTCCGGGGCTCAGCCTTGGGGAGGCCGGGTCCCCAGAGTGTGACAAGAGGCTGGGAGATGGAAGAGGTGGGTGTGGGGGGGCAACCGTGCTGTGTCTGGAGGAGGTTCCCTCTGTCCCCCAACCCTGGGCCCTAGGAGGGAGCAGCAAGGGCCCGGCTCCCCTCCAGGTCCCTTCTCCCCTCAGGGCCCCTTCGTGCACCTCAGTGTGATGATCGCTGCCTACCTGGGCCGCGTGCGCACCAAGACCATTGGGGAGTCCGAGGTAAGGGGCTGGGGGAGGGCCCCCCTTAGAGGGAACGAGAGGGAGGGGGCTGACTCTGAGCCCAGGACTCGGATCCCCCAGAACAAGAGCAAACAAAACGAAATGCTGGTGGCGGCAGCGGCGGTGGGCGTGGCCACAGTCTTCGCAGCGCCCTTCAGCGGTGAGACCCCGCCTTGGCCCCTCCCCTGGCACCCTGGGGCTCCCCACAGCACCCCCCCACCCGTCTCCTGGAGGGGCCCGGAGGAGGGATGAGGACTAATTTTGGTCTTGGTTCCTACAGCAGTCTTGCCCGCTCAGGGTAGGGGTGAGTGAGTGGGGGTCAGGCGCCTCGGGGTTACCTTAGACAGGCGTGGGTGTGAGAGCAGCTCTCTGGGTGGCCCTGGCCCAGCAATTCACCTCCCGGAGCCTCACTCCCTCCTCTGTGCGATGGGATCATAGCAGTCCCACCCACAGGGAGGAGGTGGCATGTTCCCTGGAGGAGGGGTGCCTGCCCGGCCCTCCCCTCATCTGGGCTCAGAGCCAGGGAGAAGGGGGGCCCTGTCCGCAGGCCAGGAGGGCAGGACCGAGGAGTCAGGGTGCCGGGCTCTGCCTGAGCTCAGCGCCGCCCCCAGGCGTCCTGTTCAGCATCGAGGTCATGTCCTCCCACTTCTCCGTCTGGGATTACTGGAGGGGCTTCTTCGCCGCCACTTGCGGGGCCTTCATGTTCCGCCTCCTGGCCGTCTTCAACAGCGAGCAGGGTGAGTCCAGGGCTCACCCACACCTCCCCCCCTCCCCATTCTCCCCTCTCCCCATTCCCCCC